CTGTCCAAGACAATTAATACAGTGGGTACCTCACTGGAACAAGCCCAGGCATGTTCTTCTATGTGTTCCACCCTTATATGGCACACAAGCGAATTAATACAAAGTATGAGGAAAGTTAAAAAAAAAATAGTTACCTTATTGCAAATGAACCCTGGATGTAGTACACCAAGCCATAAATTATGTTTGTTAAATCAGCATTCCATAAAATTTTCTTTTCACATTTTTGTGCCATATGGAAGGCCCAAACTCTTAGCTATTTCTCACTTCTCTCTCTTTAAAGATCTATATCTATATCTATCTTATCTGTAAGTAGATCATCTATATCTATTCTGGATATATCTTTATATATATATATATACATATATATATATGGAGGGGAGTTCATGTGTGTGTATGTGTGTGCATGCACATTTATAGATGTATAATTGGAGAGGTTCTTAATCAAATAATTTTATTGGGAAAAAAGTTCTAACTAGAAAATATTGAATTCACACTTTAGTGAGGACTGTATACTTTACTGAAGAGTTATCTCATGCCTAATGAAAAACGGACAGCATAATATGACATGCTAGAAGGTCTGATATGAGCTGGTAGAGTTTTATTATGAAGTATTATTGATTTGGATACTCTGAGAAGCAGATGCCATGTCATTCGTGGCAACATGGATGAACCTAGAGGACACATTGCTAAGTGAAAGAGGCCAGCACAGAAATACAGATGCTGTATGATTTCACTTGTATGTGAAATCAAAAAAGTGAAATTCAGGAAAGTAGAGAGTATAATGGTGGTTTCCTGAGGCTCAGTGGTAGCGGGTATGAATAGGGAAAGAGATGTTAGTCAAAGGGGACAAATTTCAGTTAGACAGGAGAAATAAATTCTAGTGATCAACTCCACTGGAACCTGGTGACCTGTAGTTAATAATAATGTATTGTATATTTCAAACTGCTAAAAGAATAGATTTTAAATGTTCTCATCACAAAGAAATTATAAATATATGTAGTGATGGATAAGTTAATTATCCTGATTGGATCATTCTACAATGTATGCTGTATCATAACATCACATTATACTCTATAAATATTTAATATACACAATTATTATTTGTCAATTAAAATAAAATTTAAAAAAGAAATTCAAGCTCCCCAAATACTCATTTGTAATATATAAAGTGTGGAGGCCTAAGGATGAATAATGAAGATGATAAATGTCATTCATTATCCCTGAAATCAGAGATGACTATAGTTAATATTTTGGTATATTTATATTCATTTTCTTTCCTACATATGCTACATGGTGGATATTTTCAGTATCTGAATCATGCTGTAAATGCAGCTTATATCTTGCTTTTGCTAATAATAATTATAAGTATTAACATTACCTCTGAAGCTGGAATATCCCTGGGTTTAAATTCCAGCTTCACCACTTATTAGCAGCATGTGACCTTCTGCCAGTTTCTTATACTCTGTGAGTCAGTTCTAGCTTTGGAAAATGGGCATAGTGAAAGTCCGTCACAGAATTTTGAAGATTAGGTAAATGTATATATATGTATATACACAATATTTTTACTTCTGGCACATAGAAAGCAATTAATGTTAGATATTACTAATCACTAGTATTTAAAAATATAAACTTATAATCCTAGGCAATAAAAACAAAATGGGAGGTATCAATTTACCAGATTTCAAATTATACTACAATGCTATAGTAATTAAAACAGCTTTGAACTGGCACAAGACACCTGCACTCGAATGTTTATAGCAGCACAATTCACAATTGCAAAGCTGTGGAAACAACCCAAGTGCTCATCAATAGAAGAGTGGATTAATAAAATGTGGTATATGTATACTATGGAGTACTATTCAGCTATAAGAAACAACAGTGATATAGCACCTCTTGTATTTTCCTGGATAGAGCTGGAACACATTCTAAGTGAAGTATCTCAATAATGGAAAAATAAGCACCACATGTGCTCTCCAGCAAATTGGTTTCACTGATCAACACCTAAGTAGACATATAGGAATAACATTTATCAGGTATCGGGCAGGTGGGGGGGGGGAGGAGAGGATGGGTATATACATACATAATAAGTGTGATGCACACTGTCTGGGGGATGGACATGCTTGAAGTGCTGACTCGAGGGGGGAGGGGGACAAGGGTAATATACATAACCTTAACATTTATACCCCCATAATAAGCTGAAATTAAAAAAATAAAGTAAAATAATAAAAATATAAATTTAAAGTTGAATAATATTCCTTCATACAATAAATGTTTAAGCAATGCTTTATTATGGGGGAATTGGATTGTCAATATATTTTAATTTTTGTATGTAGTCTTATAGAAAACAACCTTTTTTCTGATTATTCTTTGCTCCTAATTCTCAAGGTCTTTGTCTTCCCTGTTCTGTGACCCAAGAGACTAACTTTTCCCCAGCCCTCTTCTTGCCTCTTTGGTTTGGCCAATGGGAGACAGTACAAAAATGAGAGGGTATGAGTAGAGAGAGATTGGGGTATTTACCTCCCTGCTCTCTCCTTGCATGGTCATAGGTCTGTCAAAAGTTGCTTTTTATTTTTTCTAAAGTCACAGTTTCTACCAAGTGGTTTCTTTCCCATAGATCTAGCTTTCACAGGTCTCTTATAATACTGCACCCTTCTTTTGCCTTTTAGGTGTAGGGGTGATAATGTCTTCTTGCTATTGTTGACATGTAAGTGCTTTGCTGCATCTTGTTGGTCTTCTTACCCATAACTACTATAGATAATACCTTTATTATAATTTTTTCAGTTAAAAGTTACTAAATGAGTTACCTATTTCCAGTTGATACCTGGATACACTCTTATATTTGCCACTTTATATTACTTTATGCTGATTTGCTTTATATATTTATTTCTTAGATGAGAAATTACTGAGTCAAATTGTAGTAACATTGTTAAAGACTTTGGCATATGTAGGTGAACAGCATCCATAAAACTTATACCATGTTTTATAAATCAGTATAATTTCTATACACCAATAATATTCTGTCCAAGAATCTAATCAAGAAGGGAATTCCATTTATAATAGCTACAAAAGATTAAAATACCTAGGAATATTTAACTAAGGAAAGGAAAAATATCTACAAGGAAATCTATAAAACACTAACGGAGGAAATTGTAGATGACACAAATAAGTGGAAAAACATCTCATGCTCATGGATTGGAAGTATTAACATTATAAAATATTAATATCTTTAAAATTACCATATTGTCCAAAGCAATCTAAAAACTGATTTCAATAAAATCAATAGGCTCTAGAAAATGGGGACATATGAGAGAATTCTGATGAAGCTGGGAACATAGAAGTCCTAAATTCTGGTGAGTCTTGCTTGCCAGTAAAGTAGCTGCTCCAGCCTTGGCTGAGGACATTAATCCTGATTTCCCTCTAATGGCATCCCCTGGGGTAATTGCCTTATAAGACACTGCTGATTCTCCTCAGGACCCACTCTTAAACCCCCTCTTTGTTTCTAAACCTATGACTAGACTCACATCCTAGCAAGCTGATAACAGTATGGTCAATTGATCTTCAATGAGGGTGCCAAGAATATATAATGAGAAAAAGTCTCTTCAATAAAAGGTGTTGGGAAAACTGGATATCAGTGTACAAAAACTGGATATCCATATTCCACAAAGCATTGCTTCTGATCAAGGTTGTCGCTTGATAGCAAATGAAGTGTGTGAATGGAATTAACTGGTTCCCATTACCATGTTACCCAACATCCTGAAGCAACTGGTAATGGCCTGTTGAAGACTTAGTTACAACACCAGCTTGGTGGCAATACCTTTAAGGGCTGGGCACATTTTTTAGGAGGCTATATATGCTCTCAAGCACCATCCAACATACATATGGTGCTGTTTCTCCCATAGGCAAGAATTATAGCTCTAGGAATCAATGGGTAGAAATGAGTGGCATCATTCACCATTATTCATAATGACCTGCCCCTTGACCTTATATTCGACTGGTCAAGACATCTTAGTTCCAAAGGGAGGAATGCATCCACCAGGAGATGCAACAGTGATTCCATTGAGCTAGAAGAGACTGTTAAGAGACTGTCACCTGGCCACATTGGGTTCCTCTTGTCTCTGAATCAATAGGCAAATAAAATTGTTTACGTTCTGAATGGGGTGATTGATTCTCATTACCAAGGGGAAATTGGACTGCCTCTCCTAGAAAGAGTGTATTTGGAATATAGGAGGCAAGTTAGAGTGCTTCTTAGTACTACTATCTCCTGAGATTAAAGTCAATGGAAAACTACAACAACCCAATTCAAGAAGGACTGCTAAAGACCTAGACTCTTCAGGAATGAAGCCTTGGGCCAGACTATCAGATAAAGAAACACAATGAGTTGTGGTACTTTCTGAGGACAAAGGGAATATGGGTAGTGGAAGAAGGGAGTTATTGATATCAGTTTGACCATATGACCAGTTACAGAAATGAGGATTGTTATTGTTAGGTGTATTTTTCCCTTATTTTGTTATGGATATGTTTGTGTGTGTGTGTGTGTGTGTGTGTGTATAATAAATACTTATGTTTTTTTTTTTTATCTCTCTTATCCCCTTATCATATAACACAAGGTATTTGAACTTCACATGATCATAGTTGAGAGTTGCTAACTTTACATCATAGTATTTAAGGTATAGAACATGAAGAAGAATAAAGATCACCACCACAATCACATGAGCCAATTCCTTAAAATAAATCTCTTGTTCATATATTGCTTCAGAGGAAAGGTAAACTTTTTAACTTCGAGTTAAGTGAACAATAGCAGCCTATAGTGTCCCTATCCACTTTTTGGAGTTTTAAGGTTCATAAAATTTAAAAAAAAAAATGAGAGTGAACTGCAGAAACTAAGTGTATTAGGTACAGACAATTAATGCAAGTCCAAATTGTGAGGAAATACAGGCAAATCTGGCATTTGCACGTGAGCGTTTCACTGCTGTCAGGTGCTCAAGGAACTGTCGATCTCCCTAACCTTCGGATGTCCCTTTGGTACTGATGACCTTTTTCAGAGCACCTTTGACATCCTTGTTCCGAAGCGTGTAAATCAAAGGGTTGAGTAAGGGGGTGACAAAAGTGTAAATGAGGGCAAATTGGCGGTCCTCATCCACCGAGGAGCTGGATTGGGGGCGCAAGTACACCAAGGCACAGAAGCCGTACTGCAGCAGGACCACGGTGAGGTAGGACGAGCAGGTGGAGAAGGCCCGGCGCCGGCCCTCGGCAGAGCGCATGCGCAGGATGGTGGAGGTGATGAACGCGTAGGAGACGCAGATGAGCAGGAAGGGGACGGTCAGCACCAGGACGCTCACGACATAGAGGACAGCCTGGTGCACGCGGATGTCCGCACAGGCCAGGCGCAGGACCGGGGGCACGTCGCAGAGGAAGTGGTTGATTTCCCGGCGGCGCCCGCAGAAGGGCAGGGTGAAGATGAGGGCGGTGAGCTGCAGGGAGAGCAGGAGGGCCAGGCCCAGCGCGCCGGCCACCGCCTGCACGCACAGCCTCTGGGTCATGATGAGCGTGTAGTGCAGCGGGTGGCAGATGGCCGCGTAGCGATCGTATGCCATGACTGCCAGGAGGAAGCAGTCAGCGCCCCCAAGTGTGAGGAAGAAGAACATCTGGGCCCCACATCCGGCCAGCGGAATGGGCTTCTGGGCCCCCAGAATGTTGGAGAGCATCAGGGGCACCACGACGGTGGTGTAGCAGATCTCTACAAAGGACAGGTTGGACAGGAAGAAGTACATCGGGGTGCGCAGGGAGCTGTGTGTGCACACCACCCAGATGATGGCTTTGTTGCCGCAAAGGATCATCACGTAGAGGAGGAGGAAGAGGAGGAAGAGCAGGGCCTGGAATTCGGGGACGGTGGTGAAGACGCGGAACACGAACTCAGTGGGGCCGGACTGGTTGAGGACAGGTTTCCAAGCAAACATGCCTTCTGCAAAATGAGCATAGGAGGCCCTGAGCCCTCGTTGGCTGAGTTGTTTTCGTTACTGGGTTAAATTAAAAGATAGCAAGCTTTGTTTCTGATGTGGAAATTACCTAATTGTCACTGAGATTTTAATTTTAATGAAAGTGATGGAATAATTTTCCTGTTCGTGTGTATGCTCTTGAAGACAAAGAAACAGATTTCTACAGTGTTTTTAAAAACTGGCCTTTTAAGTGTTTTGGTGGTTACCCCGGGCAGTGAGGGAGAGGAAAGGGGAGATACAGGTCCAAGAGTACAAACTTGCCTCTATGTAGGATTAATAAGTCTAGTGATCTAGTGCATAGCATGAGGACTATAGTTAATAATATTGTATTACGTACTGAAAATTTACTAAGGGAATAGATTTTAGGTGTTCCTACCACAGAAAAATGCTATGTGAGGTGATGGATATGTCAATTTGCTTGACTATGGTAATTGATTCACTATGTATCTGTATAGCAAAATATCATATTGTATACATTAAATATATACAGTAAAAATAAGTAAAATAAATACAAGTTTGTGATCAGGTCTTCGTTTCTGCTGAAGATTCATAGTTATATAATTATAAATCCTTATTTTACAGATAAACTTAGATGACGGAGTTGTTCATATTAATCCCAATGTCTCATAAAGGTTTTTTGAACATACCTTTATTCCAATTTTATTCTGACATATGCTCCTTATTTATTTTTCCTTATTGGCATATTTTCTGTAAGACTTCCATTGTCAACCCAAATTTTAGAATTCAAATAGCCTGACATGTAATGTGTAGTAGACAAAAACAAGAGAGATGCTAGATGAGATAAAGAAAGGTAAGTAGGAAACTAAACATTCTGTAGCAGAAAAGAAAGTAACCACTTTCTACAACATAACCACTCTCAGAGAAATTTTTGTCTAAAATATCTATTTTGTGACACAAAAATCCAGGAGATGATGGATTACTATCCAAAATGTTTTAAATTAGTACAAGTATTTGGAGACTGGCGACTTAAAAAAAATATTTTAAGGAATACAAATTCTGATCAAGGAATCCTATGCCCAATCAAGTTGTCATCCTTGTATAATAGCATCAGAAAGACTTTTTCAGATTTGCCAATGCTTGGATATCTGTTATACACATGCATGAGGGAAACAGCTAAAAAACAATCTAGTTAAAAAATCAAAATTAAAATTCAACATTAGATACTTTATGGTATAAAAGAAAAGTGGAGAGAATTAAAATACAGTAAAACACAGTTATGCCTAAGTAATTGTTTCCAATATTGTTTTATAAAGAAGAAAAATTTCAAGCATAATTCTTGAAAAATGAATTATGGAAAACAAATTTTAATAGTGATATGGATATAATATTTCAACAGGTATAAAAAGAATATGAAAAATAGGCAGGGGAGAGGAGAGGTATGTGAAATTGTGCTAATTTCCTCAATCTGTAGAGGGAATAATTCAATATAAGCTATATTATTATTTAGATGTGGATAAGTATAGAGAAGTTTATTCTTCTTATATTCTTTAACTTTCAATATTAGTCACTTGAATATTAAGCACAAATAGAATATACTTTTTCAAATGTATATATACTAAATATATATCATATAATATATACTATCTATATCTTTCTTCAAAACAAAAGAAAGAAGCTATAGTTCAAAACAAAAAGAAGAAAACAATTGGTAAGGAATTTCATGGAACAAAAATCTTTTTAAAAAGTTTTCAGAAGCAGAATGAAATGTCAGTTATGACAATAAATATAGATGGGCTCACATCCCTTTTTTAAAATAAAAAAACATTCAGATTGATTTAAGAAGCAAAAGACGTTTTTAAGAGGCAAAAAGTAGTATCATGGAAAAGCTATTACCTGTTTTAGTCAGTATTTTTCTGAAAGTTCTAAAAAATGAAATAAGCCATGCCCTCCAACCAAAAAAGATGACAGATATCTGATAATTCCTATGAAAACCTCAAGGCAACTGGGAAGTTGTTAGAGCTAATATGGAAAGTCCTTACGATGGTCAATAGTTAACCAATTTCCATTTAACCTCTTTGTTATCTTTACCTCTATAAAACATACTGTCAGGTGTTCATAGCACACTCAACTCTAGGCAAGGAGACTTTACTCCAGTACATCTGAGCATGTCTACTCCTTCTAGTTGAGGATTTTGCTTATCAAGTCAACTGTATTAGTTTCCAACTGTAAATAAGCCAAGTACACTTGATATTGCAAAGGCTGATAAAATCGTGCATGAAATGTTGCATATAATATTGAACTCTATATGAAAGAGGATTCTTTCAATGGAAATCAATGGAAATTCTTTCAATGGAATATTTTGGAATTATTTGACAAAAATGAATTGCAAACAAATAATTTACTGATTAATTAGTTAAGGTGGACAGAAGCACTATATATGTTTAAGGAAAAAAATCTTGAATGATGTAGCATGCATTTTGTTTCCCAGGTGTCTTTGCATTTTCATTCCATGTTGAAGACACTGATACCGCAAATTGTAGGCAATTATTTGTAAGTGTGGTTCACGTAAAACATTTCAGCTTGCAATTATCATCCAACCCCCATCAGATACACAAAAAAGGTCTCAGTCATACATCAGAAGGTTGGGAGTAAAAGTGTGCATTTATATATTTTAAATTAATATTTTAAGGATATATACATTTTTAAGAAATTAATTTTCTTTTAAGCGGCTTTTTAATTATTGATCAAACACTGGCTGCTTTGGATAAAAGGGCTTTTGTTGTACATGAAACACAATACTTTTTCCTTGTCTGAGGAATAACTAGTTAGAAAATTATAATCTCTAAAAGACACAAATATAAAATATTAATAAATGTAGCATTCAATAACCAAAACAAATTTAAGGTAATTGCAAAAAAATTTTTTATGGGAAAACTCAATATTTTAAGAATATTATGTCTTCAGAATAATGCATATATTTGGTGCAAACCTGCTAAAAATTCCAAGAGAAATTGAGTGTGTTTTTGCATGCATATGTAATTCATAATGTGATTTTGAAGTTTATTTGGAAGAATAACCAAGTGAGATTAAATACAGTTCAAAAAAACAGGGGTGGAAACTTGTATTAAAAATTTAAATGCTGCATAAATTATAATATTTCATAAATATATAATGCACTAAAATTATATCAGAAATAAAAAATAAGTGCAGGAAAAGAAAAGCAATTCAATAAACAGAAAATACCCAAGAATGTATGAATCTTAAATACACAATAAAATCAAGGCAGCATAGCAAAGTGGTCAAGAGCATGCTCTTTGTCATAAGACCACTTGGGTTCAAAGTAATCTTGGACATGTTACATAAAATCTTTGCACTTCAATTTTCTCATCTATAATATAGAAATAATAAATGTACTTACCAATAGGGTTTCTGTTAAAATAAATGAAAGGGACTTAAAATAGTGCTTGTCCCTATAAATATGCACTAAATGTCAACTCTTACTATTTTTCAAATAACCACAGCATTGGAATAATGAGCTAATATTTGTTTGACATTATTTTCATGTTACTATAAACTGAAATATATTTTGGATGATCAGAATGTTTGTTTTTTCAAAAAGTGAAATCATCAAGGAATTAGAAGACTATACAGTTAACTGCAAAACTAAGACCTCAATCCAGCAAATCTAATTATTAGAAGGTAGAATCTACCTTGTAGTTTTTGGTTCTTGGATTTTGGTTTGCAACTTAAGATGCTGCTAAAATATTCATGGAAAAGACAGATTAGTTGGAACTGTTCTGTTGGAGTGTCTGACACCAATACCCAAACTCTAAGTCTATACTTGTAAGAGAGGGAGGTAATCTTCTATGAAGTGTGATTTTGAAAAGCCTCTTAAAATATCTCCTGCCCCATATTGTTCCTCTAAAGGAAGTGAACACTGGGAAGGAAATTCTGGAGTTAATTATTCCTGCGAGAAAACTTACAGGCTTTAAGGTCCTTCCATCTGTGTTTGAATCCTGGCTCTGCCACATGCCAACTCTCCGGTCTTGGAAAATTTACTTAGTAAATAAAGCTTATGACCCACAGTTTCCTTAGCTAACTTGCAAGGTTAGTGTGCATGTAGTGAAAATATATGCAAAGTACCCTGTGTTGTGCCTAGAATTTTTCCCTCCAAACATTTTTCATTGTAAAATACACATAGCATAAAATTTACCATCTTAACCATTTTTGTGTACAGTTCAGTGGTGTTAAGTATAATGCATTCATATTCTTGTGCAGCCATCACCACCATCTGTCTCCAGAATTCTTTTCATTTTGCAAAACTGAAACTCTACATCATTAAACAATAGCTTCCTCTTTTCCCCTATCCCCAGCCTCTAGCAACCACCATTCTACTTTCTGTCTCTATAATTTTGACTGCTCTAGGTTCCTCATATGAGCGGAATCATACAGTATTTGTCTTTTGTGTCTGGATTATCTCAGTGTGTCTAGCTTTTAATAGGGGCTCACCTCTTCCAAGTTCCCTCCCCTCCCCAATTTCTTGAATACTATACTCTCTTTCCTGAAATCATGGAAACTCCCTCAGCCTGACAACTTTTCTATCCTTTCATTTTCTTAGCTAATTTCTACATATTTCAGCTCATGATTTAGCTCAAGAATCAGTTATCCAGAAAGCAGCCCTGATTCTCATCCTCCCCACATCTTCAGGATATGAATTACTATAGAATCATGCATGTATCTCAGTTACAAGATTGTTAGCTCTGCATTAGGTTAAGTACTGTCAATCAATCAATCAATCAATCAAGAAAGCTAACTAGCCTTTACTGAGCACATGTTATATGCTGAAATCTTAGTATCAGCTCTGTGGGAGAATATGAAAAACATTATGTAAAAAATGGTCTTTCCCTCAGTCATGCAAAGAAGACCTGACATTTAAAGGAATTTTGGGAAAAAATATACTAAATGAAAGTTTCTTAAATTATTTTTTTAGAAAAGTTAAGCTATACAATGCTCCTCCACCTAAATAGATAGATCAATCCATAGATATTAACATATAGATCACAAATAGAAACAGAGATAGATACATAAATATGTATACATAGTCAAGCACATTTGGGAAATACTAAAAATTCTATCTCTTTGTGATCCACAATATATGTTAGCATCAAAATCCTCTAAGAATCCTTAGAATTTTTCTCAAAATTTATTGCTCTGTGGAATGTTTTATTTTTCACACAGTACAACTAGTGTTTTGGGAAAGCCTCTTTAGGTGCTGTGGAAAGCATATTCAAATATAGTAATAATGGCTTATGCATAACGAGCAGACACTGTCTGGGCTATCCTCACACGTTAATTCAGTCACACTTCAGAACACCACTACGGGACAGGTAACATTTTAATAC